TTAGAATAGGGAAAGGCATGGGAACCCGTAAGGCCACGTGCTCTGTAATCTTACCTGGCTGCCACTTTCTACAGATCCTGTTAATGGGATTGTAAAGACCTAGCAGCTGATTCTGGATAGGTTTCCCCCCACCAAAAAAAAAAAGAGCCGTAATGAAGGAACCGGGATGGTTGGATAGTGTGCGTGTGGGATCGTATGTGCCCAGGTACAGGACTGGGCAGAGGGCATTAGAAGCAGCGGGCAGGGTATGCAAGCGGTATCTGTGTGGGGAGCTCAGAAAGCCCCAGAAAAGCTGCTAAGTAGACTGCTGTTCCCGACTGCGGCTTTGCCAGCCGGCCGAACAGATTGCTGGTGCATAAGAGCAGCATGCAGCAATAGGGAAGGGAGAGAAAAAGGCACAGTGTGGTAGATGCTGGGGAGTCGGGCGTGAGAGCTCGCTGATTTATTTCTTATTTATAAATTAAATGTTAAGCTTCTAATCCGTGCTATATAAAACAGGAAAAAAATTGAATTCCTGCCTAACCAGCTCATTATCCACATAGCTGGAGAGCACGATAACAAGTGATTGTAGGAAGTGTTTTCCATAACCTCTCTCTGTCCCAGTCTCTGCACTTTCTCAAGGGACAGAATTAACACGTGATAAAACCAGTGAGAGCTTTGCACATTGATCTCAATGCTGTCAAAATCCAACCTTTTGGAGGCTTACCCAGGTGGACCAGTCCTCCAACCCATAGTTCTGAGATGGGAACAACAGGAATAAGGGAAAAATGTGGGGAAGGCATTTCAGGACAGAATAGTTTTGGAAGCCTTTCATTCCCCGTCCTGCCACTAATAAGGGACAAATGCTGGAACAAAAGGGTTAAATGCAACTCGTGCTCAAATAAACAAATCTATGGGAGATAAAGCAGTTGCCATGCCAGCTGACACCGAAAGCAGCCAGCGCAGATTTGGCACGAAGGAGACTGTCTAAAAGGCTGCACTGAGCTCCTAGGCTCATCGTACACAGGCTGTTTCTTGGCCCTAGCTTTGCCAGTCCTGTTCACTTTCAATCAGAAGCAACAATTGCTTGCATCAAATTCTCATCCGTTGGAGGATAGTGAGGAGGCAGTTATGCTTTCTGGGGCTCAGCAAATGAAAACCAAGGAAGAAAGTCTGATAAATGTGCAAGAACAGGGCATGAAAGATCTGGGTCTCCGCCACTAACTCTATGGGTAGCCATTGGCAAGTCCTTTGACTTTTTTTTTCCTTCTCTTTCACCTCTTCATGTAGAAAATAGAAATAAGCAATATTTTCTGTGTTTGGTTTCTCTATTTGGTCTTTGGAACTGACAATTCAGCGTTCTGATGGATCTTCTCTAGGGTCTCTAAGTAGTACTGCAAATAACATCTAATTAATAATGACAGTTAAACCACTGATGGAAGATTTGCTTCCCAAAGAGTGACACTTACCCATTCAGTCTGGTCAAATAGTGAATAACACTAACTGTCAACATACTGGATAAACCATCCTTTATCAAAGATAACATTAGCTTCCTCAGGAGTTTATTGACTAACGAAAGTAATTATTGATTTTAAAAATGGTGTTCTAAGACACTGTTTAATAGCTGCTGTTGGGACCACCTTTCTGTAGTTTGGGCAGCGCTGTTATTTTACTACATGTGGGGAGCACAGATGTCAATGTAAGTCATAACTGTAATCCTTGAATTAAAATCCTGAAAAATGGGTTTCCAGTCAAAATGCAGATGAAAAGCATATTTTATTTATTCTTCATTTCTGGGAGAGTAATGTATTTTATCTAGCCTGTTGCATAATCATCTTGACAGGCTTTCTCTGCTTCATCAGTGAACTCTGATGCACCAATTTCTCATTGTTTATGTCCTAAGTGTAAGGCAACGAGAGGACTCGTGTGAAAGCCCATGCAGCGAGGCGCACTACAATTTTGCCCATTACATCACTGACACCAGAGTAAATTTGCTGAGGTCTCTCTAGAGTCAGAAAGGCACTCAGGTAAAAAAAAAAAAAACAACCCACAAAAATGCAGTTTCAGGGTAATAGTCTGAAAAATGAGAGGGACTGCCCTATGTCTGGACTTCCTACAACCCCAGCTCAAATGCAAGCTCAGGCCTTGTCCCTATATATGTAGACACGTTAAATGTTAAGCACAGAAATAATCCAAATGAACTCCATCGCACTCTCGTACATGTGAGCAAACATAGCCATTGGCACAGTTATCTGTCATGTAAACATCCATGTTCTGGTGCAGGATACATAAACGTACAGTGTCAGGGAGAAGGGCAGCAGCAGCACGCAGGAATTTAAAGCCAGATGGTGTCTGTGTGTTGCCTCATTGTGTACTTATATATATACATATGCATACACACACAAATATAATTGTATATGTGTGTATGTTATCTCAACACTCATTAGATGAACTTTGACTTTTAGTTGTAATTCAGGGCATAATGTTCAGTGTAAATCTAATTGACTTCCTGGTAGCTTAACTTATTAGTGAAAATTAGGTTGATGGATCAAGCCTAAAAGCCTGTATAGTAAAAGGTTATGCTGGAACTTTCTTCAGTACGTTAGCAAGGACTCAGATGTAGAAAAACATGTTAATAAAAGGCAATTTTGCTCCTACAGCAATCAGAAAATTAACATTGTCAAAAATGTGAATCCCTTCATAATGTCCAAACACAGTTAATATGCAATAATAATTTGGGTATATAAAAAAAACTATTAGTATAAAAAGCCTCTTCATTTCACAAACCTACATTAATATGTTTTAACTGTTATTACTGATGTCATGAAATTCAAAACGAACTAAAATCTAATATTTTAACATCAGTGTGACCAACTACAACCCATATATAGAGTGAAATAATGGTAATTTTTATTTCTTCCTTTTTAGATTATAGGAATAAAATAGCTAAATTTAAAACATTTAAATTTAAAAAAAATATTTTTCTGATCAATCAGTGTAACATGCCAGGATGCCAAGAACATCAGACTTCAATCTACTTAATATTGACCTAGTCTTCCTCCAACAAGAGTTATGGAAAGTTTGTAATATCACATTTCAAGATTTAAGCCACACTGTACAACTGATAAACTAAAACTGGATTTTTATGAGGCAAAAAGTTTTTTGGAAGTTTTTTGCGGCTTATTCTTACACTGCTTCTGTGGGTCAGGTTACTGAGTGAGGTACCCTCATGTAAGGAACCAGTTCCATTATGAGCTACTGATTTGAGTGGCAGCAGGCTATGAAAGAATCTATGAAAGACAGTGATCAAGGAACAGCGGCTTGCTCTTTGATCCTCTGCCTAATAAAACTACAGGTAAAAATTCCCACAGGATATTCTAAAGTCGGTATTCTGAATTCAGATTTTAGCAACATAGGCATCTATATCTGAGCTATATGACTGCTAATACACCTGGGGTTTTGTAGGCTCAGAAGGGAAACAGGTCTGTCCAAAATATTCTGCAGAGGCATCCCTGTTATTCTGCCAAGAATCTGCAGCACAGCCATAGTGCTTCTGCAGCATCTGGAAATTCAGTCTGATGCAGCAGGTTGAACGATCTTCGCTGGAAAAAGTTTGCTCAGGGCGTTGGTGATTTCTCTTCAGAATTAGTACCTACCCAATATTTGCAAACATCCAAGAATTCTCATATGTGAAATCTTGAAAGCAGCTGGAGTTGGGTAGAGAAGCCAGGAGACCGAGGGTGTCCTTATCATGGCTTTCAGGATTAACCCTCCAGGGTAACTGGTGGGTTGAATGTGTAGGTTTGATGTTGAATACATCCATTCAAAGACACACTACAGCCTACCTGGTGCTTCAGCTTAGTTTTCTAGACTCCTACCATCATCTTCACACTAAATCCTCTGCTTTCTCTCTTAGAAGATCAAAAAGCACATCTGATTTATTTTAGAGGAGAGAGAAATCAATGAATTTAAAACTATTACATTATAAGGAATTTGAAAAAGTATAAAACATAAAATGCATTTTATGCTGTGCTAAAAAGACTCTTCACTACTTTGTTTCCTTAGGCGCTGTCTTTCTCCTTTCCCATAGGATCAAAATCAATCTTTGTCTGGATTTCACTTTTAGTAAAAACTGTCTCATACAAATTGGTGAATGGCTTTTCCAACCCCTAGTTAAGCTTTGACCCTAGTTAAGATTTTAAGTTCGGGGTTAAAGCAGAACAACCTGAAGCCCTGTGGTTACTCCAGGGGATACAGAACTAAGCTAATCTAAACGTTTAACCTGCCGTAGCGGTCAATGAAACGTTGGAAACACTTTTTTCCCTGGTGGGTGGGCCACTGGCAGAGCTATTTGCAGGCAGTTTTGTCAGGCTCCGCTCTGTCTCTGTGCGTGATGCAGCAGCACCACTCGGTGGCTTATGGCAGCTCCTCTTTGTGCATCCCCCAACACCGAGCTTGAGCCAAAATCCACCGAGGATTCGGGAAAGTCTGACTTCAGTGCAATTCGGGTTAAGTCTTTAGTAGGGTGGGTGGGAGATGGGTTTGAGATAATCCCAACATCTTCTTTTGGAAGGACAAAAGAAAGGAAAAGGAAAATTTTTCATGCAAACCCAAACTTTTATGATTTCCCGTTGTAACATTTTGTATTTTTAGTATACAAATCAGCATGGATTTTGGCACAATATTTTGGAAATATGTGGGTCTTTCTTACTTCAGAACCCTCAAAAAAAACCAAGAAAAAAAGGGAAAAAACAACTCACCAAAAAGCTCCCTCATCTCTTTTTTATATCTTTCCTAGAGTTTGAGGAAACTCCATGATAACCAGAGATTTAACAATACAATGTAACCAACCATCTTCTGAAAAGCACTTTCCACCCATAATATGCAGTACTGATCTTGAAAAAAAGATTTAAACAAAATTTTCTTGCAGTTCTTCTCTGGACACTGCTACATCCACTACTTTTATGGGAAGCAAGCTATTATCAAGATCAAACTAATTATTTTTATTCTTCTAATTTCAGGTTGGGAAGTAGATAACTTGGGGCAAACCCATGCAGGTAAGAACAAGTTGCGTTCACTACCTCCTATGTACCTCTGTTCTCAAAAATTATATGTAGAGCACATGATAATATCAGATTATTGAAAAGTTGTTTGTGTATCAACAATTACAATAATGCATACATGTAGTTCGTTGTAACACTGTGATAAAAGTGAAAGTACAAATCTGATAAGTTTCTAGAAATCAGTATGATCTAACCTAAAACCACAAAATTAAACTGTCTTACTTAAAACCAATTAATGATTGCTTTTTGTCATTGATGGATGCAGATAATTTTTCATTAATTCTGTGACCATACTTAAATATCTATGGATTGTAAATGTAAATTCCTAAAGATATAATAACTCTTTTATATTTTTATAATAAAATTGGTCATAATTTGATTGTATGTGGTTTTAGCTATGTGCTCACTGTTTGCAGTAGCAATGTTTTAATTTTATAGGTTCAGCTTTGATTTAAACTCACAAGTAAAACTGTGTTTACTTTCTGAAAAGATGGAATCAAGTATTTATTGCCTTTGGGCCTGATCCAAACAAATAAAAATGAAATGGATTCTATTCACTGATTTCTACAGAGACCAGTTTGGGTCCTAATAGAAAACACAATCTAAACAATTTCATACCAAATTTCCACTTTTATAGGTGATTATGACCTGCTGGAAAGCACAGCCCAGTCTCCCCTAGGTAAGAAATAGAACCATGGAATGTTGCTCTTTTTATTTTAACTCTGCTAAAAAGGAAGCTCGAGCTTTTTCTCCTGCCATTTAGGTATTGTTTTCTTATCAGTTTAAAACACATTTTCTGGTGCATTACTTTTAGCAGTATTATGAAAATTTATTCCTCCACTATTAAGCCTTGCAATCTAGCAAGTATGTTGTTATAAATAATATCTACCTGCTTAACAGTAATTACTAAATGGTGTTAAGGAAAGTCAACACCATGATTCAGTGCTTATTTTCCATAGGAAACTGGGGATGAATGTGCAAGAGTAATTTACCAAAATTTGCCAAGTAATGCAATGTTCTTAAATGAATGCTGTGATTAAATAGATATATTCTGCCGCATGGATGACAAACAGATTCTCTAAAAATAAGGTCACTGCTGGTGTTATGAGCTACTTGAATAAACTGCTCTAAGAATGCGAAGCAGCACAACCTTAATAAAAAAAACCCCAACAGCTTAGAAATTTCCATCAATTTTGGTCAAGGTACAACTTAAACTCTAAAAACTGTAATAGTTTGATAAATGGAAACTGTTCTATTGTGCTGGAGAGGAATAAGTGCAGCCAGCAGTCCAGCTCTAATTTTTCAACCAGGTCACTGAGCTCTGGCAAGAGTAATGGTGCTTAAAAAGAGCACCTCGGGGGCCATCCCACTGTAGGCAGCCTCAGTAACAACGTGAGCGTCAAGACACGCTTTCCTCTTCTACCCCCAGTTCTTGTTTCCCAATAAAGTTTTAAGCCCTTTGATTGAGTCAGTGAAAGCCATTTAGGAGCTAGTCCTTATATATGAGATTAACCAAACAATTAGGCTAAAAAGAGAGAAAAAGAGAAAGAGGTTTTCTCTGAGCCAGTTTTGAGCTTCCTTGCAAACACTTGCTTTAGAGTAAAGTTATAAACTGGGATTGGAACAAATAACAGGCAGAGGAATGTGAGAAGGTCTGAAACAGGTTTGAAATTGTCAACTGAAGCCACACTGGGCATCTGGAGGTGTAAATGAACATATTGCTAAGAAGACAGAGACAGGGAAGAGGTTCCTGTTCCATCTTTCCTTTGTTTTCCTGCAGACCCTTCTCACAAAGTCACTCTCAGATCAGAACCCAGGAAATCTAGAGCCTTAAAGATAAATGAGTGGGATACGTGTTATCTGACTTGGAGGAAAATCCAGCTGGCTCACCATGGACATATAATGGTTATTTTACATATAATACAGTATCCTCCTGACTTCCAGCAGCGGCTTCAAGAACTCATGTTAGCCTTGTGTTTTCTTACCAGTCCCATGCAGAATACCTCAGATATAGATCATAAATAACACAAACTGCCTACCTATGTTTAATCACTGGACTTAACCTTTAGCCATCTGAAGTGTAGATGTCTACTTCAAAGATGTATTCCCTAGATGCCTTTCAGAGTCAGTGGAGAAAAATGGATATTTAGCTGACCCCTGGTTTAGGAACCTACTTGGGAATGAGATCTGTGGTGGCCTGGAGGCACTGGCTATATTGGTTAAATCTTTTTTGCTCTCTGGTGACCAGCTGTAGTAGTAGACATACACTGGTGCCTATGTAGAATTGGGTCATTAAAGATGTCATTAAACTTTCAAGATGCCATTAAAGTCTTCTGTGGATAGCCAGATAAATAGTACCCCAAGTGGTACTGTGGGGTTTTCTTTGGTCATGTACCAAGGGGAGGCAGGGTATGTCCTGGGGTTTGCTTCAGCAATGTCACATTCCCAACTGTACTTGACATAGGGGACATCAGCAGAAATTGCACCGAAGATGGCTGGTCTGAACCTTTTCCTCATTATTATGATGCCTGCGGCTTTGATGAAAATGAAACAGAGTCCGATAACCAGGTGGGAATTAATCTTATAATTAAAAACAAATGAAGGGGGGGAGCAGCAGGCTGCTTTTTGTCCAGCCTCTGGTCATGTTCTGATTTGATGGTGATTAGAATGAAACAACCAGATATTTATGGGCATAAAAATGTGAGAAGCAAGATTTAAATCCTTCCTAGCCCTGTACTGAATATTTCCAGAATATGAGTGTTTACTGTTGATACAGATGGTAACATCTAGAAGCATGGGTTAGCCCCCAGTTCTTCCCCTATTGACTAAAGAATCCCTTACCCAACTAGTTTTTTTTTTCTACAGATACATGCACAGTGGTCAAAGAAATATAGACAACCTTTGCTAGCTCACTGACAAATAAGTTTCACAGTATGCAGACCCAAGGGTACACCAGACATAGAGCAATGCTCCAATATACAGTGAGATCTCAGGGGAACCAAGAGGAGAAGACAACCAGGCTGTTCAAGAAACAAATCCTGCCTATGGTTCCCCCTACATGTTGACAGGGTAAAGAAGACGTGACCACAGATGAACTGTTTAACCGTGTGTTGTTTGCCTCCCAAGGATTACTACTATCTATCTGTGAAGGCTCTATACACTGTGGGATACAGCACTTCTCTTGTTTCCCTCACCACTGCCATGGTTATCCTGTGTCGCTTCAGGTGAGTCAGGACATGAGCAGTGAGCTGTTCAGTCACTGGAGAAAAGAGGCTGGAGCTCATCAACCCAAAAAAACGTTTAAGCTTTTATCTCACCAGATGTAGAGTAATAGGGAGACGACCCTTTAACAGAGTTGTTCTCCCAGCTTGGACACACTCCAGTAGTCACATTTTGGTAGACTGTAGATGCAACTGCAGAAGCCGTGGGTCTATTTTACGCAAAGGCAGTAGCTGCTTTGGACTGGGTCTATTTTATGCTACGCTGCATGCTTTTACAGGAAAATCCCCACATCCTCCTCTTGGTCAGGTTTAGGGTCAGTATTATCCACACTCTTGACTTTCAGGTGTTGCTATTCTTATCACCAAGGTGCTAGGAGCTCTGGCCATGTGTGCAGATAGGCCTAGTGTGCTATTTCCACGAAAGAAAAGTCTTTTTTTTTCTTTTTCTTCTTTTCCTCTCCCTTGCTCTTTCCTCTCTAGGAAGCTTCACTGCACTCGAAATTTTATCCACATGAACCTCTTTGTTTCATTCATCCTACGTGCAATATCTGTATTCATTAAAGATGGGGTTCTTTATGCTGAACAGGATGGCAACCACTGTTTTATCTCAACGGTAAGTAAAACCAAAGCCACATCCTTTTCCTTTATTTTTTTCAGCATGAGATAACAAAAAATAGTGAGGCAGGCAGCAGTCTGTTGAGTATCATAGGCTGAGAAGCTATTGGGAGAGAAGGTAATTGGTGGTAAACTTCCCTCTAGGTTCACAATAAAACAAAAATGACATCTCATGATGTCATCAGTGTCCAGCAGTCTGTCCTTTAGGACAAACCTACAAGTTTCGGTTTCTGACTCTACGCAGGTTGTTTCTCCCTTTCACAGATCTGCATCATGATAGGTGGGATGAGAGCAGACACAAGCAATTTCTTTCACCTGAAGGTCTGGTTTTTCTCCAGAGCCTTATTTGTTCTGGGTGTCAGGCAGAGTCCTGTGTAGAGAGGGTGACCATTCAGACATAGAAAATACCCCTGACGGTCACACTCTCAAAAAATCATTGGTATTAGCCACATGTTTGTCCCTGAAGTGTGTGGTTTCATGGAAAGCAATCTCTTTCACAGATGCACTTAGCTACATATTACGTGTAAATCCCAATTCCTTTCACATTTAAGGCTAGTATTTGATTTGATAAATCAGCTCACTGGGTGTAATTATGATGGAATTACAGTGAGTTCCCAAATTGAGATCTCCTTTATCCATCCAGTTACGAGCTAAATTTGCTATGAGTCACTTCCACAAGGGAAGTGCAGCTGTGTAGTTTCTTAGTCAGCCTTTTCTTTGTCATTGAAACTAGTTTTTGCTTTTAATTCTTCTCCATCGTAAAGCTGAAACCATGTTAGTTATGTAGTTTGTTCACACCACTCTTCTGATAGTGGCATCTCCCTCTTTGTTTTGAAACACTTGAAGCATAAACCACATTAAAATCAGCCATCTAATGACCAGATTTTCAGTCCTGATAGAACTTCCATGAAGAAACTCAAGATCTGATGGTTTAAACATATTGGTTGTAGATTTGTTCCAAAGGTTGGAGTGCAAGTGGGAACCAGTCAAAATTGTCAGCCTTCCACTGCCCCAGGCAGGAGCTTCCAGTTTATGCACTGATTCTGCTCTGATTTATTGAAAAGTCCTACTTTTGCAGGACTAATGATGTCTCACTGGGATGCAACTCTGGAAAGACAAGTGTGTCCTACTTTCATAGTCAGGATAGAGCTCAGTTTCCTCCTAAGGCTTTTATCATAGAATCATAGAATCATTTAGGTTAGAAAAGACCTTTAAGATCATCAAGTCCACCATAAACCTAGCACTGCCAAGTCCACCACTAAACCATGTCCCTAAGTGCCACATCTACACATCTTTTAAATACTTCCAGGGATGGTGACTCAATCTCTTCCCTGGGCAGCCTGTTCCAAGGCTTGACACCCCTTCCGGTGAAGAAATTTTTCCTAATGTCCAATCTAAACCTCCCTTGGCGCAACTTGAGGCCTTTTCCTCTCATCCTATCACTAGTTACTTGGAAAAGAGATGGACCCCCACCTCGCTACAACCTCCTTTCAGGTAGTTGTAGATAGCGATAAGGTCTCCCCTCAGCCTCCTCTTCTCCAGGCTAAATAACCCCAGATCCTTCTTTTTTTTCTTTTTTCTTTTGTCTGCTGCTTTTCACCCAGTAAATGAATGAAAGCTTCTATCTTTTTTTTACAGTAAATCCCTCTGCTTTCTTTACACTTATGCTTACTTTCGTTTTCTGTCCCCGAGTGACAATACCCGCAAATGGCAAGGAAGTACAATTCCCAACTGCACACAGCAGGGTGCATCCTTTCTGATCCCACTCTCAGGGCTTTCCACAATCGTCCTGCCATTTCACATCCTTCCTTAGGTTTCTCAATACACAACTGGATTCTTTTCTTCTCTGCACTTAATCCTTTGAAGAGGGCTTAAATGTAGCAATTAGCATCCATTGACGATGTGAACTCCCACTAACGCAAGACCTTCTCAAGCTGTCTGCAGACGCTCGTCGACCACTTCCCACTGGCAAAATTGGCTACCTGCCCTTTCAAGCTTCTCTCTCTAAGTGGCACCTCACATTCTTCTCATGCTTTTAAAACTTTACTATTAAAAGTGTATATTACCAGTCCCAGCTGTGTTCCTTTCCACTAAGAGATTTGGAGAGGTTGAAAGCATTTTCTCTATCTGTTAGGTGGAAACAACATGGAAAAAATTTTGTTTTTCTTGATTCTCTGCAGGTGGAATGCAAAGCAGTGATGGTGTTTTTTCACTACTGTGTCATGTCCAACTACTTCTGGCTTTTCATCGAGGGATTGTACCTTTTCACTTTATTGGTAGAAACCTTTTTCCCAGAGAGGAGATATTTCTACTGGTACACTATTATTGGCTGGGGTATGTGACATTTCTTGTCTAAAATGTGTCTCAGTGTACAAGATGACTCCACAAACCATCTAATATTTCCACATACAGTTTCAAAGTATAGTTTTTAGTCTTTGTATAGAAGTACCACTGCAGACCGAACCATGTTGTGCTTTTTTGTTTGAATAGAACTGAAATCTGGAGGACACCACATCTCTTGCAGAGGTGTAGTCCACAACTAAGAATTGCCTTCTACAAGATATGATCTTAATTCCAAGTTTTTCAGCTTAATCAAATCTGCATTGCTAAGTCTAGTCCATTTTCTAAGACTTCATTTGGGCCTTTCTTCCAATAATAGCTAAACTGAAAATGTATCCAAAGGGTATCCACATATGTTCATCCTACCTGGATGGGTAATGGAAACTTGCAATGGAAAGACACAAGATTTGTTTCAGAAAGGCCAGTTGTACGATGATAACCAGTGTAATTATTTTTCATTCTGGCCTTCTGGAGATAAATTGATTCCTGCAACATGTTAATTCAAACGGTTCTTTGCTGACATTTTTGTGCAGAAGTCAAGACGGTGAAAGCAGAACAATACATTCATTTTAAATGTACCCTAAGAAGGTTAAGCTCAATTTTTATACTTAAGCAAACACACTTCTGAAATAATCTGGAAATAATCCTATATATTTATGTGTAAAGTCTACATACAAACCACATGCCTTAAACTATTCTCCTTTGAAAAACTATCCTCATGTAACCTGAACCTTCAAGTAATCCACAGCTGGTTTTGTTTTTCTCCCTCCTGAGGCAGCTGTATATATACAAAAATTTTCATTTCCTGGTAAAGACTCCCTACAATAGGAGCAGAGGTATAGAGAAGAAGAGAACAAGTGATCAGAAATAACCTATGGCATATAACGGCTACTGGAAAAGGATGGCTGTTGGAAAAGGCTGTTGGAAAAGAAACTATTGGAAAAAGATGTTTAAAGTTCCCCTTGTACTACCCATAGATGTATAATCCCATTATAGCTGAGATATTAGGCTGTTTTCAAAAAGAACTTGGAGGTTATGTACATGAAAATGTGACAATTATAAAAGAAAACAATGTGTAAATCTTTGCAAACTGAACATAAATCAGAGGTTGGGTTCCTTTAATTAAGTTTGCACAAATTTCATATCTGTAGGTTTGTCTGAATATGAGAATATTGCAACACAGCATATTAACTGATTTTTTTTTTTTTTTTTTTTTTTAAATCAGTCTCTGTAATGAAAGAACTACCCAGCTAGATTCATTCTGTAATGCAACCTCAAAATATTTGGTCTTGAGTTGAATATGATAAATAATACCTAGTGTTCAGTTAATAGATATCACTTCATATTCAAAGCAATATCAGTAACATCCATTAATAACACTAAGAGAATCTCCAAATGTGGATGGGTTGGGGTTTGGGTTTGTTTTGTTTTGTTTTGTTTTGTTTTTTAAAATACAGTATTTTCTCAGCTCCTGCATATTTCAGCTTGAATAGCAGTTCCCCTGACCTGATAGGAGCAAATGGCATTTTGCAAGAACAGAAGCACTTCCAGACTCTGGATGCAAGTGATGTAGGGCAAAGGCAACCTCTCAGCTCAGAGCTGATGGGGAGGGAGTTGCTTTGAAGCAGCAATAAGCAAGAGCTCAGCATTTTGCAGCATCTGGATGTTTATCTGTTTCTTAAAATGTGCTAAGCACATCAATGTCCTCATTTGATTAATGAGAACTACATATGGCTGTGTCGATCCAGACAATTTTTTCCTCTTACATATGCAATATGTTGGTAAGTTCTCCGGGTAGACTGCTGTCTTCCTGAGATCTCTCCTAATTCCTGCTCCTTATTCAGGGCAGAAACAGAGTCAGCACGACTAGTTCTCTTCTCAGCCTTTGAGGCTTGTCTGTTTTCTAATGTTACTCAGAAGCTGAAAAGAAGGTGATGTAGATATATATATCTTTCGATGTAAAGAAAAGTAATGTGAGTTTATGTATATTCATATAACAGATGGTTCAAAACTCCAAGCTGATCTGAAACATGCTTTTTGAACTATATTTTTATGACAGGTTTAGTCTAATTCTGCCTTCCTGCCCATGTTTCAGACTTGGAACAATATTCATACCATCAAAATTTATATCAGTGCAAACTAGATAGCACATCAGACTCATGATTGATATTTGAAGATTATTTTTGTTATTTGCATCTGTTAAGTGCACAAAGATCTCAATGTTTTCTAGGTATTCTCATGTGAGAAAAGCAGACTTCAATTTAAGTCAAATATGCATGATTTCTTCTCCCCAAAGCCTGTCATTTTATTTCTTTTTATCATTTTCCTTTCAAATATTTCTCTGTGTGCTTTTTTAAAGGAGGAGGGCTTCATCAGTCATCTAGGTATAACAGGGATATTTTTGTTTCTGATAGCAGGAATATGAGATTTGACAGAGATTCACTTAAGTGGATTCATTCGAATGACTAATTAACGTGACATCAACACAGCCTTGCAAAATGTATGAAACATAATTGTTCCTGTCAACTTATGACAGTCTCATTCACCGCTGCAAGCTGAGGTTATCAAGGTCCTTGTTTTGTTTGCTTTTTAGCACTTTATCTTTCCAGTGGTGCCTGAATAGATGTAAGCAGTTTCCCAGTCAAAGATTTTATTTGCCATAAAATGTAGATCCAACTTACCCAGAGTTCTCTTGCGAGACTGTGTTGTTTTATAAAAATATTTCCACTGGAAAACTGCACTTTTAATCTTTTCAGAAAGAAAAATAAATCCAGGTTTCTCAGTGGATTCTTACTGTTTTCATTTAATTTGTATTTTACAGGCATTTTTTAAAGAGTAAAGAAATGTCTGAAATAGAAATGAAATTCTTGCTCCCAATATTCTCTTTTGGGGGCTTGGTGTTTTTTGTTTTTTTTTTTAATGAAAAAAAAAAAGAAGCATTCCTGTGAGTAATGGAATACTATCCTCTACTGATTTCTTTTGGTTGAATAAGTAAAGCAAAATCAGTTATTTACACAATAACAGAGAAAATGCAATATATGCAAATTATTTACATCAAAACCACATACGAATACAAAGAATGTAATAACGCCATTACAGCTTAACATCTGCCACTCTCCAATTATTGCACAATTACAGTAGCTCTAGATACGGAAGCTGATGTCACTGCTTTTATTTTGCACAGACTATGTTTTAATGTTCATGCAACAAGATGCAGTACAAGAACTTTGAGCAATAATGACCTGAAACAACATCATTCTTTCCTGTAATCACTTTCGATTCTGCAATCCCACCAAGACTAACCCATCCTCTGACTGAGAGAGATGTTTCCAGAGCTCTGAATTAATGTAATGAATTGCATTTTTTCATGCACGAGTGCTGTTAGGAAATAAAACCTCAGTGGAGAGGTTGCAATAAGTGCTCGTTGCTGAGTACTAAATGTGTGTAGACTGCTAACGATATCACCATCTTATCTTCTGCAGGTACCCCAACAATTTGTGTCACTGTCTGGGCAGTGCTGAGACTTCACTTTGATGACACTGGGTAGGTATCGCTGCGTGGGAAATCATTTCACGTGAATTCAGCACGATGGCAAGGATGAAACAGAAATATAGTGACCAGAGGACATAGAATCATAGAATCATAGGATCATTAAGGTTGGAAAAGACCTCTAACATCATCAAGTCCAACCGTTAACCCAACACCACCATGCCCACTAAACCATGGCCCTAAGTGCCTCATCTACACGTCTTTTAAATCCTTCGAGGGATGGTGCCTCCCCCACTTCCCTGGGCAGCCTGTTCCAAGGCCTGACCACTCTTTCAGTGAAGAAGTTTTTCCTAATGTCCAGTCTAAACCTCCCTTGGCACAACTTGAGGCCATTTCCTCTCATCCTATCACTAGTTACTTGGCAGAAGAGACCAACCCCCACCTTTCTACAACCTCCTTTCAGGTAGTTGTAGAGCGCGATGAGGTCTCCCCTCAGCCTCCTGACTAATTTCTCCTTCCATTTCTGACATTGATTTGTGTATGCAAGTAGTTTAGGTCCAGTGTTCAACCTAGAGTGCTTTCCTGTTCAGCTGCTTCAATAGCCATAGTTCAATGTTTATGTCCCTATTGCACTGGTGAATTCATGAAAGAAGATGTAGGCATCTACCCCATAAATCTGCAGCTGACCCAGTGGCCCTCCGTTCCCTGCTCAGTTAAATTAGTGGAGTCCAGGATATGATTTATCTCATCTTAAATGACACCTGTGATTGTCTTCTCTCCAACTGAAGGAAGACGAATGTGATGAGCTCATCTGTAGAAATTATTGCAGATATCTCTGATGCAATGAGTGAAATCTGCACAAGGAGTTGCTGAGCTTTGATTTACAAAGGCAATTAGGAGTTTAGATTCCCCTTGGAGAGTTTTTTCCTACAAGTCTAATGGGGGAGATAAGTAGAGGTGAGACAGAAATCACATCCTGTCTTCTGTGTGAAAAAAAGATGAGGAAATGGAATAATTTCAGAAAGAATTCAAGAGGGTAGATTCCAACCAAATGGTCTCTTCCTGTAGGGCAAAAAGTGTGCAAAGATCCTGTATCCTTTTCTAAAGGACCAGAAGAAAAGGCTGCTCCCAGAGGTGGCCCTGCACGTCTCCATAGTCAGTAGACTGACTGGTCTGATAGAGCAGCAGGCATAGCTGGTAGGAATGGACATGAATGTACGCATTGAAAATACAAACTTAGCAGTGTTTTTTCACGACAGCTATGTTTGAAATTGGTGAAATGTTAGGAAAAATGCTAGGAATATGGGAGACTGAAGTTGGACTAGATGATTGTTTTGGGTCCCTTCTATTCCATTCTAAAGTTTGGAAAATCCAGCAGTGGTCCTTTGAAAACCTTGATCTGAGTGAAAGGTGTCATTATGTACCCAAGTCCCATTTCCGAGAGACTTAGGCTTATGTTCTAATTTCGCCTTATACTAGAGATATCTGGATCCAAAATTTGCACAAGACTCACGCTTCTGTCAGGTTTTCTTCATCCTTCTTCTTTCATGCTCTTTTTGGAAAGCACATAAAACCCTTCCTCCACTGGGGATGTGAGTGCTTTGACCCAATGTTCTATTTTGACATTAAGACAAATTAAATCATTTATTTCCATGCAAAACAAGCCAGAAACCCCTGTTGTGTCATTATTATGATTACAACACTGGTCCTAAATGCATTAATTTCTCTTAGGAGTCCAAACAGTCCTTGCATTTTGTGGGTAGGGGGAATGTCTCGCTTAAAGAAAAAAAACAAAACAAAACAAAACAAAAAAACCCTTTCCTTTCTTTTAGTTAGAGAAGCTATTTAGCATGCAACACATTTAGACAGATTCTAGCTGAGCGTCTCAGTGGTTACTTTCTAAAAATCAGCGAGCATTGTTCTGGGGGTGGGGGAGAAGCCAGCATGAGCCTGAAAACATTGCAGAAATTACTGAACTAGGAAACCACAGTCGCAAAGGCATGGACTAAAATACAGACTCTGAGTCTGAGCCTCTTCCTGCTTGCTCCTTATAAAACTGGCAGAGCTCCCTTGACTTCAGCTCCTGATTCACATCACTGTAAGTGACAGGTTTGTGGAGATAAATGCAACTGTCTCTTTATCCAGACCTGTGCTACTGAATTAAATGGAGTTCTTCCAGATGTACACCAGAGATGTAACAGAGATCAGACTCTGGCCTTTTCAAATGGAAATCACATGCCTCCCCCATCCCACTGGCTCCCTTCCCTTCATCCACCCTGAAAAAGAGTCCTGTGTGCCTGACCTCCACTGTAGCAATGCATTTGAAAGAAATTAGGGAGCCTGTTTATGTAGTACAGCTTGTTGGCTGACATTGCAGACTGTTCTGTTGTGCATTGCTTCTTTTTTTCCTTCTGGTCGTCTTCATCTGCGGAGATGATGTTTCTTCCACCACATTCATCTCATAGATGTCACAGGGACCAAAAAAGTCCTTGAAAAAACCTTTGTGTGAGCTTGATCTGATTCATTGTTGACATCTACAAGGTAGACATTGGCAACTGAGCTTGCTGGGGACACGTCCTGTAAAAGGAGAGAAATAAGTCTAAGAAGAATAGGCATTTATAGGGGATGATATATCACCCCAGAGTACACATTTAAAATATATCAGTGCAGGAAAAAAAAACTAACAACCTCCAAGTCTCTATTTGTCCCAACCAGAGTCTGGGATAATTAGCTGGGCTGTAGATGTCTTCAGTATAGATGACTGGAACTAGAGCAGGTAGATTCCATCCTCTGTATTTTCTCATTTCTATACTGACAAATTGCCATACACCAATGGCTGTTTGTGCAGCCAGATTAATATTAGAATTTCTCCAGATTCTTCCAGCATTGGTCAACTCACTGAAAACTTTCAGGGTAGATTTAATGTGCATCTTAGAGAGGTTGAGCTCTGCAAATAGTGGGTAATTTTCAAAAGAGGGCACCTAATTTATAAATATATACATAGAATTAAAAAGATAAATGGTGATTTTAGGTGCTTTTGTTTTGTGGCACACAATTGTTGATAACTGAAAAGAGCCTGATTTCTAGACTTCTGTAGGTGAGAAGGAGTTCCCTCTGAGCATTTGTCCCCTTTAAAATATTTTAAGTTGGGCATTCAAAGTGAGGTAACTCAGAAATTTTACTTTGCATTTGAAAATCTCAGCCATTAGTCCCATAGATTTTGGTGGATTTTAAGTTTCTAGGTTTTGTAGACAGAAACAAAAATATGTAATTTTGTGCAAATTTGACATCCCAGCTCTAAATTTTCTCTCTTCTCACCAGCTGTACTACACACATGCTTATTATTGGTTATACGGGAATGCATTAAAATATTGTTCAACTGAATATTGAAATATTATAAATATTGTTCAACTGAAAATATAAGTTCAACTGAAATTTCTAAACCAGACATCACCCAGCTGCTTGGGATTTCTCTCATATCCACTTTGATGGTAGAATTTTAGCTCTGATTCCTCACACTTACACATGTATATAATTTTGTTTAAAGTAAAGATTTTCACTTTTCCCCCAGATGCTACCAGGCTACCATTTACATGACACAGAAGTTGCATTAAGCTCTCATAAGATCAGCAGTGTTTTATTCCTGTATGCTCTTTCAAATTGTTTCTTGGCATCTGACAAATGCACCATGACAACCACTGCTGGGACTTTTGGCTGTTGTCCCAGTGGGAGGGAAACCCTCCTTCTCAGAACTGCAGGTACAAAGTAGACATTTTTCTGTGATTTTTCTGTTTTCCAGAGGGAAGCATGAGGGGAAGAAAGCAGAGACAAATAAAAGACATTTTTTAACTGACAATCAAATTCTTAATGACTTAAAGTAGTGTAGCGGGGTTGGTATGGTGGGGGAAATAAGGTTTTTTTCATTATTATTGTTTTTCTAGCTTTAAAAATATATGTTAAAATTAAAACCCCATATGTTTATGGGTCTTGTAATTAGCTTCCTCTACAAAGGAATGTCCAAATGCATCTATATAGAATAAACTTCAGCAGAATCCTTTGGTGAATCTGGAGGAAGATTTTAAATGCTGAGGTAGAAATGTCATTTTATTTATGATCACTCACTCCCAACAGCTTAAAAAAGGAGCTGGCCCCAGCTGTTGTCCATCCTTGCTCCTTGGTAGGACTTGCAACCCAATGACCAGAAAATCATTCCTATATGCGAATACAACCCGCCTCTAGTACATCCTTGTGTACTTGATATGTGTAAGAATCTTCATGTCGGGGTCAGGGACCAACATTCATATCTGCTTTCCCTGGAAAAATAACTGAGACATCAAACTTTGGAATAACAATCTCTTACCCTTCGAGGTATCCCTGTCTTTTTTCCCTTCTACTGAGATGTTAGCTTAAAGGGACAATTTTAGAGTTGTACTGTCTGTAGACACAGAAACATACATAGAGGTATTTTCCAAAATGGCTAAACTGTTTAGTGAGAGGTACCGTTGAAATTGCCACAAAAATATTTTACTTTCAGATAAGTTGGATAAAGGCTGTAAAAGAAAGCTACAACAGGGACAGACCAACGAACTAGTACCTTTGAACCCAAATAAAATAATTTAGCTGCAAGACCAATCTCCCATTCTCTGCCCCTTTGAAAATTGTTGTAAGTTTATTAACTTCCTTGTTACATCTTTATCTTTCCTTCTCTTTCCCCACCCCATTCTTTCATTAACGACTGCAGCTGCTGGGACATGAATGACAACACTGCCTTGTGGTGGGTGATCAAAGGTCCTGTGGTTGGATCAATCATGGTAAGTGGCACTTGGAGGAGGTGTTTCCTCAACACTTCTGAGGGCAAATAATCGATGCAAATAGCTTCAAATGGCTTTACGAATGATGCTGCATCTGCTGTGCTGGACTACCGGACAGCTTGTCTGAATGTCCACCATTTGCCTTCCACAATGTTAAGTAATTCCATTGTTATAAAGAAGGTTTAGTACAAGTTAAATGATGGTGCACTGCCTGCAAGCAAAGACTACGTAGACAAGGAGTTATTCAGTTGCTTAAACATAGATACCAAATGCCATAAGTAAGACCCTAGAGCATATGGAGCATTTGCCTGGGGCTGGCAGATATGACATGGGATGTATGGGAATCCTGTGCCATTTGGGGTGGCAGCTGAAGGCTAAAACAATCCTAGATGCCAGTGTCTGGGAAACTGGACTGTGTCTGTTGAATGGAATTCATTTCGTGGCTACATTTATTTATCTAATATTAGCTTTAGAATAGTATTGCGGACACAGTGCAAGATGTTCAATTGCCAACAAGGTATCTAAGCTCTCTTTAGTTGATGGAGGTTTTGGATTTGACACAAATGATGCTAGATACCTGTGTATGAACATCTAACAGGTCCTAAAGTATCCTGTTCAAGCTCCATCTGCTGCCCCAAAAGGATATGGGAATTTTAAAATGGTGTTGGGCTCCTCCTGTTAGGAAATTAATACAGTTAGTGGCACCTGAAAAGCTGCTTGTGCTTAGACACCACATGTAGGTGTCTAATTCTGGGCATGCTAAGTTGCTCTTCATACTCCAGTGACAGCACTGGCCAGGACTTCATTGACTGTTGTGGGAATTTAGACACCCAGCTCACAGGTAGCTATCTACATGTTGGTGCTTCTCCTTTTAAGCATTTGGACAGCTCTCTAAAGTACAGTAACCTTCAGACATGTTAAAGGTAATTCAGCTAAGAACACTGAAGGGTATTGAGGTGAAGAGGGTCCAATGGATATTGCGATATCAATGTATGTGAATTTCTGTGCTTTATAGAGATATTCTATGAAGGATTACATTCTGGCTTTGGGGAATCAGTCATACCTGGCTTCTATTGAAGGTATTAAAGATTCAAGCAACTAGCAAGGGATGACTGGGCTTCTCCATTCATTCACAGTCTTCAGATCAGATAGAAAGTACTTCTGAAAGAGATGCTCACATCTAGTTCTTGGTCTCCTTACAGGAGTAAAAAGTTGCATAAGAGACCAACTAAAATTTCCCACTGTTTTCTTCTGGTATTAATCTGAAGACAAAGCATCGAAATAAACTGATGGTATTAATGTCCAAATTTTGAAAAAATATATCTGTAATGTCATGATTCTACAAAAGAGAAGATGCCCAGGATGACATGAAACTAGAAGACATGACGAAGAACATTAAACACACACACACACACACACATGCACTCCTCCCCTCCCAAAAACGTTAGAGGTCATCTCATCTTGGGACAGATTCAGCCAAGCAGAGGGAAAATGACACAACTTGGGTTTTCCGGGAAAGGAGAGACACTAAATTGTGACTGATGGATTCTACTAAACTGAGAAATGCCTTAGTTCAGAGAATGGGAGATAAAGATACTTTTACTGATGAGATCTTTCCTATATGGTTTTGATGTGCAGGGATCTTGCTTTTTATTCTTTGCACTGGTTGATAACGAAAAATGTTGAAACATTTTCACTTATCTGGTGTTGGAACTGAAGAAATTCTGCCTTACTTTAGCTACTGCAAGGGGGATATTTTTGCCTGGAAAAGGGGTGATAAAACGCTTGTAAACTTATCCTATTACTTCTGACCCTATAAAACTTCTAGACTGCAGTTTGGAGAAGAATAAGGCAATGGAGCCAGCAAGTCACTGGGAATGTCTCATTTTCATACTTGAAAAAATATATCATTGTCATCATTTTTTCCTTTCTTTTTCCCCTAGATAAACTTTGTGCTTTTTATTGGCATAATTGTGATACTTGTGCAGAAACTCCAGTCACCTGATATCGGGGGCAATGAATCCAGCATTTACTTGTAAGTACAAATAAAGCAGTAATCAATTTAGATTTCTAATATACACATAGGAAAAAAGATAAAGTCAAAAAGATGCCTCAGTTGAAGTAATTTGATTTTCAAAAAGATCAGAGGATCTATTAAATTTATTTGGTTGATTTTGACTTTTTTTTTTTTAATCCAAAATCCACTAAAGTGCATTTTAATGCCAGCTTTCACCTTTCTTTAAAAGGCCTAGAAAAACAAACATAAAAACAAGATTAAAAAAAAAAAACAAACCCAAACTTCTTTACAAGTCAGTTATCTGGAAATTAACATACTGACCAGGCATAAATGTTATGATATTCGTGGGACAGTTTGCTGTGCTTCATACGTTCCAGGGACATGGTCCAAATTTCATTGAAAGCAATGAGATTTGGTGAAAAGGTTTCATTAACTTTGGACTGAATTCTAATTTAGGAAGATCTCCTGAAGTTGCTTATGTTCATGTTTCTGGTAACCTTGAATGCATTCAACTTAAGCCAAAAAATTCCCCCACACAGCTAGAATTGCTTAAAAATGCACAACAAATCCTATAATTTTGCTTTTGAAGTTTTAAAACTTTCTTTGTGGTTTACATTTTTTTAAAGTTGACGTCTTTTTTGTTAGTTTCCACCTCATTAGAAGACAGAGATTGGCCATTTGAGATGGTTGTCATTCCCATTTTGAGTGCATGCAGTCATTCTCCATATAAAAATTATATAATCGTTTGGAATAACTAGGATGTGTGGCAGCACATTTGGTGTTTTCTTGGCTTTTCAGCCTAAACACCACGCACATTTGCTTTGCAATTTTTTGTGAGCTCTAGTGATTTCTAGCACTCATACACATAGGTAAGACTGTTTGATTTAACACTGGATTCCTGGTGAAAAAAGGCAAGTCATGCAAACCTTAAATAAAAATAAAAGATGTCAGGATAGGTAGGAGATCCTTATTTTGTAGTACTTTTTAAAAAAATTATCCAGTGATCGGTTTCACCCTAAGTAGCCACACTCATACGATAATGATGTTATCCAACTAAATGACAATTTTCAGGGAAAAATATGTCCTCCAGCTACCTATTTTTCTTCCTTTTTTTCCTGTTGTCCTGTTCACATTTATATGAAATGATAATATTTTATGCCTCACTTTTTCACCTCTGTAGTCAGACATCCACGTACTGAAAGTACTGCCCTTGAAGTTTGCTCTAAACTGTGTTTCCACAGACAAAAAGAATGCTTTAAATTCATTCTGCAGGTGGATATTTCTCAGAATTAAAACTCAGGAGAAAGTGTAGTAAATAGGTTAACTGTATGCATGGTTTGCCTAGGGCTTGCATGAAGACTTCCCATGTATGTGCTGCTGGGAAGTCATCCCCTGAATCTTAGATTGTAATTAGCACCCAAGATGTGCAGAGCTAGTTCTGATTACGACCTACTGTGTGCATGTTTGGTGGCTGCTGCACATCTCTCACATATGAAGCAAAGCATGCCATAGACTCCAGTGATTTAACTAGACTATAAAACATCCTTGTCATTTTTTGATCAATATGGTGACTGGGTTTTACTGATATTTTTCCTATGTGTATAGTTAGCCACCAAAACCAAGAGAAAACATCATATTTTCTGTTTCATTCGCTGCCATTATTTTTCATATTTTTTTGCAACTTTATAAATGGGTGTGTATAAATTGATATTGCATTTGTGTATGTGTTATGAAGTGGAGTGTTGTTTATCCAAACAGATTCAACAACAGAAAAGACACAGAAATGATAAAAAAAAAAGAAATTAGTAAGTCTATGCAGATATACACCAGGCATACTCAATATTTGTGCATACATATCCTGTAAAAAGAGAGCTGTTGTAACAAAGAAAAAAAATAGATCATAGTGTGGTTATGTCACCATATTGAAATCTCTGTGGCATTTAGGCTGTGGTCCATATTAAGCATTTTCCATGTCCTATTTTGCTGTTTCAAACTATTAAATGTCATCCCATCCGACCAAATTCTCCATCCAGACCTTTATTCCACAACATATTTAAGTACTTTGCTTTTAGTACATGAGACAGATCAGTTGTGGTCAAGGAAGGATGTTCAGCCTGTTTCTGAAGGTAATATCGCATGATATCTGCAGTAGTGATTGAGATTTATTTTGGTATCAATCTTCCACTCTTTGGAATAACCCTTTAGCCAGGACTTCCATCATCAAAAAGAAAATAAAAGACCCCACAAAAATTTGGTTATTGATTTTGGGTAGGATGTATTTTCTTCTTACGTGTATGGTACATGTTTATGTTCAGGCCCTTTTAATGATTATTTTTGTTAGGAAAATCTACTTCCAGTTCTATTTTATAGACACTATGGTTGTGGTTCTGCAAGTCACTTAAACCTGTATTTGGCTTCAAAAGCCTTGGGGATATGCTTAAATCAAAGATTAATTATATATTGTTACCACTGTGCACTCATTAAAGTTCCCACTACTGAAGTTAGCTGCAAGGTATGACAGGAACACAACAGAAGAGTGCACTAGTGCTTAATTAATACAGTGTAGACACTAAAAATTGTAAGACTTGCTTTAAAAAAAACCCGAACAATAATTTGTATAATTTGCAGCACGATAATGAGTGCTTTATCCCTATAAAAAAATCAGACTTTCTCTCTAAATAACCTTTCTGATGATCATTATATGCAATAACCTTTGCCCTGAGGTTGTCAAAAACTTGGAAACGTGTAGCTAATTCCTAACAATTTTCTGCAGTATTCAAATGCTTTAGTGATTGTAAACTTCCATGTTATCAACTTGCATGTTCAGTCATTCATTACCAGTCTCATGCCTAAACCATCTTTCTTCACACGTTTAATTCCCCCTCAAAGCTGCCTGCATGATGCTGATCCCATTTCAGACTGAACGGCTCAAAACATGCCAGATTCCGAGAGAACAATAACTCCACCCTTCTTTTACTGATGTTTTAGATAGAAACTCCTCCTTACGGCTGAAATGATTGGGGGCTAGATTCATCAAAAATATCTAAGCAGCTGAGGTAGGAATTAAAAAGGAAATAGAAGCCACCCTTTTTAATGTTCATTTTAATTTTGTGATTTTGGGTTTTTTTCGTCTGAGAACCTTAAGTAGCTTTCATACTTCCTCCCAGTAGTCATCATAATCATTAGTTACTTTTTAGTGGTAGGAGTGAACTGCCAAAGGCATAAAAAAGACATAACTTTGTTTCTTGAACCATGTTCCAGGGTCAGTTAATCTTGTATCAGTCCTGAATACTTCCACCAAATTAAGCATCAAACCAAAGCAAGTCCAGTAATACAAATGCAATAGATTTTTATCTGAGTGAGAAGTTCTGAGATCCTCAGGTGCTGGGGAAGCACAAAGTGATATCGATTGTATTCCTAGTGTAATTAAAACAACTGTGGAGTTCAGACAGGTTTCTTGCCCCACCTGGTGAATGAATTGCATAAACAATTGTAATGTGCCATGTCATGGACATGACACACTTAATCCTACAGTACAAATGACAATGTCTTGTATTTGTACCTGTATATTCAATCCAGTTAGATTTTAACTTAACATGCTTCGAAACAGAAAGCACTGCCTGATTTTTAGCAATCTCCAATTGCACAGTTTGTAAATATTTTGAAGAAGTAGTAAATTATTTAGGGACACTGTTACACCATATGCTGAAAGCCAAGTAGCACTACATCAGAAGTCCATGAATCCAATGTGCACTCACAGTTCTTGGGACTGGAAACACATATTCGCAACCCTACTATGGCTGGCTTAGCACACATCAGGCAGACATTATTTGCATGGACTTTCATACATCAGTCCCTTGTCTGGAATTTTAGGAAACAAATAATAAATTGATCTGGCAAGGCTTCACTGTTTCTCCTGTGAGAAATCCAGCCAATAGTGTGTAACATGGTATGTCAGAATCTGCTTTCAGGTATCCTGGTTTCAGTCAAGTTGTTGTAGAGAGAGTGCATTCACCCCCCAAAAAAGCCATATTCCTATAGAAATGCACACAAAGCTTAAATCCACGCTATTATTTTCATGAGCATTGTTGCATTGCTGAAAGAGTCATTATAGACGGAAGATCATCTAACAGTATCACTACCATAAACCACTACAGTATTTAAGCAGGTATGCATGATGTAGATGCATGCTGGAATAACCCTTAAGATTAAAAAGGCCCACACATTTCCATCAAGTCTTTGCTTATTCATTCATTTTCGAGGATCAAACACATTTAACTGAAAAAGCCTCTTTTTTTTTTTTTTTTTTATTTCCAATTTATCATGAATAGTATAATTTGGGAGGGGGAAGCTTGTTTCTGCTTTTGCTTTAACAGATTCTTCATAAATTTTGTATCACATGTTGAAAACTCAATGAAAAGAAAATAAACCCCACATATATCTAGCTAATTCAGGTCTACGTCATTCCTCCAATCAGCATCTTGCTGGAAAGAAAGGAGAAACATGGCATATATCATAGGTAGGTATGATTTTACATATGGTGCAACCTAGAGGGTTAGGGCCGGAGAAGCAATGTTGTAACACAAACGTTTTGGTAAACAACACTCCTCTACAGTTCACCTGCAAAGTCACTGGACACTCAATGATTCATTCTGCTACCGCTTTGTCTTGCTGCAAGTGCTTAGACTGCCAGCATTAATAATTATTGACAGGGTCTTCATGCCAAAAGTCTTATTTTTGACAAGAAAATGGCAGATGTTTGATGAATGGTATATTCTTTAGCATGGCACTTTAATTTCTTAACCCCAGGTACTATCAGTTGAGTGCTGGAATGCCCACTAACCCAGCAATGAAAGGAACTCGTGTCCTCGGGCTAATCCTTTTCTATCACAAGAAATACAATGGAAAACATAGACGATGATCATTTGGTGCTAGTGCATGATCAGCGAGGACCTAGTTCTCATTTCTAAGAAATGCTAGGAGAGTAGATGTTTGCTACTTTGATTGACACTAATTCT